GCCTTAGCCACTTGAGCCACAGGCGGCGAGCCTTAATCTTTGTTTATGATCCACCATTCCATTTAGTACCTGAAGGACATCTCTCATTTGCAGGTTGGATTTCTGTGATTTCTGCTCCCATAAACTTCTGAGCTCTTTAAAATGTCTGTTCATTTCACATTTGGGAGTATTTCTGAAGCAAATCTTCTCCATTATTGATTTGATTTTTGTACTGTCAAATCTGCCTTTTTTGGTTCTTTCATGGAAACTTCTTTTTCTCTTTCCATCTTTCTTTGTCCTCCCTAACCCTGCTTTCCTTTTTTATCTAAGGCTATTATTGCTTGATGGATGCAATGTCCTCTCAAATTGTTTCTGGGATCCCTTTCACCTCTGTGGGCTCCCAGGCCATGTCTACGGCCGTGCTGAGGGCCAGTGCAGAGTCTGTCTGTCTGGTGATGACAAAGTCAACCTCAAGGCGGCAGAAGCCAAGAGAAACAGGGTGGGGGTGAACAGGACAGGATGTAGAAACAACAGGTGTGTTAGGTACAGCTGTAGCGAGCACTTTACTTAGCGAGCTCGTTTAACCCTCACAAGAACCCTAATAGTAAGGTATAATTACCCCACCTGCCCCCCATGAGCCTGACTCTCTTCACTACTCTGATCTGCATGGAAATTTTGTGGGGGAGTAGGAGGGCTCAGGAGAGCCAAGGCCCCTCTACTCCTGCTAGTATTAGTAACTTACTTTTATTTACACTAAAGATTTATTCTCACAAGGAGCTTGTAAGTTTGGAAAGGTAATCTTAATTAGCTCCAGAAAAGAGGAAATAAGTTCATAGAAGCTCAACCAAGACTAGAGCCCTGGTCTCTGGTTTCCCGCACTGACGTCTGCAACCAGAAGGACTCACGATGAAACACAGCACCCGTGCCTCCCAGGAAGGGTTTCATATCCTGTTGTGCAACTTTCCGGAGTTTCTAAGTCAGAGTGCTGTCTTGTAGCCATCCCAAGATCCCGCAGCAGCAGATGGAGTTGGTGTACAGAAGGATGGGGACGGCCCAGCTCCGGGGGCTGCTGTGTGTGCTCATTGTCTCAGGTGAGGCAGGGAACAGGTATGAACAGGGAAGTCTTTTTATTCTGGAGCTCCAGTGCATGTGGCCAACCAAGGTAGGGCCAAAAGCTAGTTATGCCAGGAGGGCTGCTGTACCCAAACTTAGAATTAGGAGCATGTCCAGGGCCTGAGCATAGACATAAAGGAAAGGGGTGAGTTAGGAGAGCAACGTGTCTGTGTATTTTGATGTTGTCAGAGACACACAAAGGCCTAGACCAGGATAATGATAAAGTAAATCTAACTGTGGCATGATGTCAAATAATTTTATTTGATATTTAGGTTTTTTTTATATCCCATCATGATGCTTTTGATGTCGATAATCTGTTAAACCCAAAGACATCATTTATTTAACAAATATTTTCCAGTGACTCACTATAGGCCAGCAAATACGCTACAGCTGAGGACACGGATGTGAACAGAAGAGGGCTGGGGCCCATGTTCCTGGAGGGTGTCATCCCAGTTCTCCATTGCATGCTGGGGCTGGAGGACACTGTTGTTCAGGCGTGGCAGAGCGGGTCCATCCTGGTCCAGTCTCTACTTTTGTAGTCTGCACAGATCACACCTGCATTAAAAATGGAAGCTTTTGGACTTTAGTCCCTCCTCTTCCTAATCTTTTCAATATGAATTGAAAGCAGGGTTTGCCTTGGGAAGAGACGAAAGATCAAGAAGAGGGTGTCCTCCTGGGAGCCACTACTCTGAGCAAGGTTATGGACAACTGCCTTGCAGAGCCTGCACACAACATGCTTTGGGCCTCCTTGGAGCTGGGATGATAATCTGGGTGGGGAGATGGGAGTTAGGTTCTCACGGACCGGTGCATTTCTTTGTGTTTTCTTTGTGTTTTTCTGAAGAACTGGGAGATGGCAGAGACTGAAGGTTATATAAATGTGTGAGAGAAAATCAGTGGTATATATTTCACTATCAGTATGCCACCTTCAAAGCTCCTTCCAGTGAGACACCTATTGATGTCTAGGCCAGAACTGCTCTAATTCTAATCCCGGTCAGACAGCTGTGTTGGGTAGTGTTGCTCAGCGGTTTAGAGCAGATTCTAGAATCAAACTCCTTATGTTTGCATCCTGGCTCCACCGCTTAACTACTGTGAGACCTCGGGCAAATCACTTAACCTCTCCTTATCTATGAAATGGGAAGAATACTGCAAGAATCATATAAATTGTAAGGATTTAATAAGATAGTCTTTGAAAGCACTTAGCACATAATGTTCAATAGATAGATAGACTTTGTTATCCTTTTTGTTAACATATTCTAAGAACTTGCTTTCTTGGAATGGTGCATAGACAGCACTTAGCTTTCATTTCATATTGTTTTCTTTCACAGGAGACTAGGCAAGTTTGTAGTCAAACTCAATCACTTGTAACTTCCACCTCTCCTGGGGAACTGGGATATAAAGAGATTTCTTTCTTTTTTTTTAATTTTTTTTAATTTCAACTTTATTACTTTGAAGGTTTTTTTTTTT